AAAAAAAATTTTGAACTTTAATTTGTCTTCACGATGAAAATGTTTACCATATGCTATTTTTGTGTGAAAATTCTGGATTTTATTTTTTACATTTTTTACTTTATAATGCTTTAACTTATTGAAAAGTGTATGGATTAACACAATTTTTTTATGTGAAATAATATTTATATCCTTTTTCATTCTACATACTTTATTTTAATCAAGATATAAATATATTTATAATGGATTTGCGTGGTGATTTTAGCTTCAATGCGAAGATGAGAAGGAATTAATTTTATTATGAAGTGTTTTTTTTTTGTGTCTGTGAACGCTCAATTTCAGGTCTCACTGGACCGATGTTGATGAAAAATATGTCAAAAGATCACAAATCGTATCTAGTCAAAGACATTTACCTCAAAATTTGAAAAAAAATTCCCTCGTTCCCTGTAAAAGGCGGAAATACCCCAAAAAATTTTTTACAAAAAATTAACTTTTTCAACTTAACTTTTAAAAATGTTCCGAAAAGATTGATACTTTTATATATACCTTAAATTAAAGCTAATGTAATTTTCTTTATTTTGAAAAAAAAAATTGATCTCTTGACATTTTTTCATGGTGAAAATGACTACAGTATGCTATTTTTGTGAAAAAATTTTGAGTTTTGTATTTTTTTTTTTCTAAAATACCTGACAAGGGAAGTATACAGATTTTCATAAATATTACACAGAGTGCGGCATAATTGTCTCCCTATTTTCAATACGATCTCGTAAAGCCCGGCGGTGTTGCAGTAAAGTTTTATCTTAAAACGGATTTAGTCTGAACCATCATGTGGACTGACGCACAATGCGCTTTTGAAAGTGTACATCCGCGAAAATGAGTCTGTCATTGCTACGCAACGTGCGTTCCGTATCAGATTTCAAATTCCTCGTAATCAACGAGTCCCGGACCGAAAATCAATTATTTTTTGAGTAAAAAACTTTAGAGAAACTAGATCTGTTATTAAGAGAGGAGGTGGACGGCCACGGACAGGTCGGACACCCGAAAATATCGAGATATTCAGACGCTCAGTGGTACAAGTCGCCTACACGTTCTGCATGCAGACATGCGATGATTCAGAATTTTTTCGCTCCAGATCTTGTAGACCTTAATGTGCAGAATACCTGGTTTCAACAGGATGGTGCTACAGCCCACACATCTCGAGCATCATGGCAACTCTTGAGGGAAATGTTCCCCTGACGAGTGATCTCCCTGAGAGGTGATATTCCATGGCCTGCACGCTCCCTGGACTTGACAGCTTGCGACTTCTTTCTGTGGGGTTATATCAAAGCTCAAGTCTTCCAATATCATCCAAGGAACCTACGAGAACTGCAGGACACCATCCGTCTGGAAATTTGACGAAAACTGCAAGAAATGCTGGTCAGAGTGATGCAAAATTTCAGAAATCGCTTGATTTCCTCCAGACTTCCAACCCTCGAAAATTGAAAAAAAATTTCAATTTATCAATTAAACAGTTAGTTATTCCATGTTCTTCATAAAGACAATTAAAATCATTCATTTCTAATGTTTTCAAAGTATTTATTGACGAATTAAGTTTCATATGATAGGTTTCAACTACAAAATTTAATCATTTTACTTTGTAATTTAATAATGTTTTTTACTCTATTTGTGTGTGCTACTACTAGACTATAATATTACAAATTTTTTTGTAACATGTTGCTATATAAATCATTTCTAAAAAAATTGATTGTTTTTTCTCCTGAATTAACAATTGATTTTTTCAATTAAAATCAAATTTTATGATACGCTCAATTGAGTAAATTTTTAACAACTTTGTTTTGATTCATTCATTTAGTTAAAGTAAATTATTTAAATTAATTAACTTTTGAATATTTCAATTGTAGAATCTTTTTAAACCCCAAAAGTTACTAGGAAATGGTTACTATTATTTCTATTTCAGTTATCTATAACGATAAAAATACAAAAAACTAGTGAGCTTTTCTGATAAATTTACTATAAATAGTAATTATAAAACAACCTAACTGCATATTAATCTTAACGCTTCAATTTTTTTAATTCTCATAAAAATTTTTATTTAATGATGACAATTTCAAACTTGCCAATTAAGCTAAAAGTTATGGTAGAATAAATTCATTTTTTTTTTTATTATAAACTTTCACAAAAATCAACTTTAAACTATTAAAAAAATAGGTTAAATATGTCATTTTCCTTATTTTTAACATACAAATAATCAAAATCAGTATTAATTTAAAACAATTTTTTTTTGTTCTTAATTATTATTTTTTATATGTTAATACTTATTTTTTAATAATAAGTAATTATATTAAAACTTAGAAGTAATAGAAAAAGTTTAATTGCATATTTTAAAACGTCGCGAAAAGTTGATTTAGAAAAGTATATTTTTGTTTCTGATGAAAGTTCCTTGTGGTTTAGTGTATTTATTCATAAGTAACAAATATTTTTTATTAAAAAGTATTGCATCAATCCCTTTAAATTTTTATACGCGTTAAAAGTAAAGAAATATTCTACTACTTTATTATTTTTATAATATTTCCGTAAAAATTACAATATTAAATTATTGAATATAAATTTCATACTAAATTTAATTACTAAAATTATTATTAATTCATATATAATAATTATAAATCAAATAACTAATCGGGATAAAATTAAGGGAATAAGAGTTATTGTTGTTTTTGAAATAATCTACCAATTTCTTAAAATTAAACACTATCAACAGATTTGCATTGAAGCGTTTCTTATGATAGTGGTATTAATCACTGTCAGATATCATCAATACTTGTCCCAACTATGCCACGTCCATACTGTATCGTAACCCCACTGTGCTACTGTTTTTTTATTTTTATTTAAATAAAATTTTTTAGAGAGGACGTGTATTTATTGGAGAAAAAAATGTTGGTTTTCAATTGAATATAACTTTTATACTAGTGATTGTAGTATAATTATTAACACATGTACTAAATATCACATATATATGAATAAAGCCAAAAATCATCTAAGGAATGTTTCCCTTTTAGGGTAATAAAAATAACTATTTATCAACACATGTTTCAAACCAGTCCCCTACAATTCATTAACTACGCCCACGGCAGGGTTTCTATCACAATTAACCAATCACAAATAATGATCTAACATCTTAGGAATTTCAATAGAGATCGCTGGCTTACTTCATCCGGCGTATAAAAAGCCATTTTTCTCGTAAAAAGGGACGCTGCTGCTCTTGCTGCGACTCTGCTCTCTTCTTTTGGACTTCTCTCAACTTCTTTTGACGATTTTCTGCGGCAGCGATTGCAACGACTACCCTCTAAAATATTCTCTTACATGGAATCTGCGTCAGTATAAGTAAATATTTTGTCCCTGTGACTTAGTTTTTTTTATATGTATCATCCTAAGTGGTGAACATTGTCTTAGATGATTTATTAATATTTTACACAGGAACAAGTTTTTATTTATTTTATTATCACCTAATGTTCTCACGACAAATAGACATTATATCTATTTTTATATAAAGGTTTTAAATATTATTATGCCCTTCATTTCTGGACAGCCTCAAATGTGCCGAAAAGAGTGAAGAAGCGTAATTTTATTTATTTAGACATAGTTTGTAATATATAAGAATTTTAAATATTATTGTGCCCTTCATTTCTGGACAGCCTCAAATGTGCCGAAAAGAGTGAAGAAGCGTAATTTTATTTATACAGGCATAATAGCCTTATACATTATCGTATATTCATAATAAAGCTTATTGTGCCCTACATTTATGAACAGCCTTAAATGTGCCGAACTAAATGAAGAAGCATAATTTGTGATTAGAATTAACTAGTTTTAGTAGTAGTACTTTATGCCTGTGTACCCGCCAGCCTTAAGGGACTATGCCAATTACCTTTCGGTAACGTGTAGGCAGTTGAGGTACAGAGTAGTACTAAACTTATAAAAAGAGTATTTTTGAAGTGCGCTATATCTGTCGACAAGTCAGTTCTAGAGCTAGTAGTCCGGGTAAAGTTCATCATAAAATATATAGTCCGTAAGATAGGAAACTACACCTTGGAAATATTCTCTGCGTGTGTCCCCGCCAGCCATAAAGGACTATGCCAATTACCTTTCGGTAACGTGTAGGCAGTTGACGTAAAGGATAGTAAAAGGTGTATTGAAATAATATTTTAAATATATTAACGAGGTAACTGTGTCCGCGCCAGCCAAGGCTTTACGCTGAGAAACGCTGGGCCACCACAGTCTTGTTAATTATATTTTGAATATAGATAGACGTATTCTTATAATTATATTTTGGCTAGTTCAGAGTAAATTTTAAAAATATCGATATCGACTGTAGGGAATTCATCGAAAATATTATTAGTAAAAACATAGTATAATATAAAAGGAATTTAAAATAAAAGAAAGTGACAAAATTATAATAGACGCAGGTCCCATTGTAGAGAATCCCCTTTTTTAAGTCTTATATACACAGAGATACTAATTTATCGAAATAAACGCAAGACAGTATAAACGACAGTTAACACTGAAAGAAGAAATCACCATAAAACCAACTCAANGTAAGAAGAAATTACCATAAAACCAACTCAATCAATTACTAAAGGAAATAAAGGTAAGTGCGAATATTTATTTGCATGTCTTACTTCTAAAAAAAATCACGTAATAAACAAAAAAAATAGGAATAAATGAGGTAGGGATATTTTATTATTTAATAAATAAATAAAGTTCGACCCCGAGAACGACTCCATTCTTACCATCTTCAACTCGCTCATTCTCTTTGCCTCTTTCTATCTATTCTCTAATTTATTCATTTACTTCTCTTTTCTTTTTTTTGTTTATTACATGATATACATTAAAACCATGCAAATACAATTAAAAATAATCCTTTAATATTAACCTGAGTTATAAAACCATTCCAATTTCGATAATGTTCAACTTAAATATAATTTAAATTTTGGTTTGAAAATACTCTTGAAAAATTTAAAACTTACTCGGATTTATCGGGATTGAGTAATTGATCAAATCCTAAGTTTTTGTAACAATTTTGGATAGTTTTTTTATAGAACGAATTTAATTTACTGCATGTAATATAGACAAAGTTAGGGTCTCTTTCATTAAAATGTTCTGCTTTGTAAACTGCTATCAAATCAATTTTAATTTCAGTATCAATAACATTATTATTCTGATATAAATCATTTAGGTTTGTTTTTGGATTCAAAGATTCATTTATACTTACAATTGTACTATCGTCCTGTTTAATTTTTAGACTTTGCATTGACTTCCATCCATTTTGTCCACGTATATGATTTAGTGTATTAATTATGTAATTCTTATAATTATTTCGAAAGGAGTTGCAATGCACATCTTGATTTTTTTTTAAGAACCAAAGGGCATTAAATATTAAAACGAATGAATGAATGTTCATTGAATAGTTTTATTTATAAATTTTGAGTACAAATATATTCAATTAGGTTATAACCTTTTATGATATGATAACCTATATTAATCGTATTTAATTAATATATTATCTATTGTTTTATTGAAAAATTCGCTGTTAAAAAAATAAAGTTAAAAAATATATTTGGTACCAAATAAAAATTCTGAAATAATATACAAGCTCACTGAGTGTTTAAATAATTTCTCTGAAGATTTTTTAAATTTTTATAATACTAATATCTTGTAATCAATTGTTTTTAAAAAAACATATTTTTTCTATTACGATGACTTCATGAAAATATGATTGTACATAAAAAAAACTTATATTTATAATTCAGTGATATTTATTGTCTAAATCATTTTTTTTCTAAGTTCTAAAAATAGTAATTGAAACTTAAACAACATCTATATATTTTAAATTGATTTACTTTAATTTATTGATTCAGCTGTTTCATTTACTATCTTTTCACAATAAGTTATATTTTTCTTTTTTAATAGTGAAGAAAAACCTATATTTTAGTAAAACTGGAACTGTAATTTATAATTATTTGCAAAAAAATGCCAATGATTTTATTTTTATAAAAAATTAAACGTTGAACATTTTACGTAGTAGAATATAATATGCTAGTTTTTACACAGAAAAAAATATTAGTCATTTTATCAATTTATCAAAAAAGCAAAAATAAATTAAAATTGGTAACACTGTGGAGTCGCAGCACAGTGTAGTGTGCATATTATTTTATCAATTTTTCTGGGGAGCAAAAAAAAATTAATTTAACGAAAATTTATTATACAAATTGATGTTTTTCAAGTACAAAAAGTAATCCTATTTAATGAAATAAGCTTTGAAATATCTCAAAGTTATTAACCAAACTATATATTTCATTAGTTAAAGTACGGTAAGTCACAAAAACAAATTAGATTTTAACGATATAAATAATATATATAGTAATATAATTTTATTAATTTGATTAATTATTAACAAATTGCATTAAACAATTAATTATTTTTTGTTTATTTGTAAAATATTTAGGTTCCGTGCCTTAATCATGAATAAATAAACTGGTGAGCAATTAAATTTTTCAATCACGGTTTTTGATATTATTTAGAGTTAGTTAAAAATTATTTAATTATGGTATTTTTTTGATGAGAAGATATTGTGAGAAAAAATTGTTTTAAAAATGATAGCACTGTATATACACCACTTGGTATAATAAAATATAATTGAGTTCCAATATTTTTTTATAGATGAAATGGGGTAAATGTTAATGAATGGGGTAATTGTAATTTCATTTTTCTTCATTGAATATTTGGTAGACATTATTTTAGATTGAAGAGTTCTAGCCTGTAAATGTATTTTTATCATATTAAATGAAATTTCAAAATATAAACTTATGCTTATAAAACTTATATAAACTTAATAGGACCTCAATTGTAGTTTATTATATAAGGTAGTGATTATTCAGTGCTGTAATTTTTATCCTGTTTAATTATTGCGTCTAATTAAAAAAAATGTATAGTAATTTAATAATATTTAATATTGCTAAATTACATATAAAAATAGTATCAAAGATATTTTAAAAAATTTATAAATTTATTTTATTTTCTTGTACAAATAAATAAAAAAGTTAATAAACATTAAAATATATACAAAAAATATTTAATAAAAATATAATAAGTAATAGTAAATGGTAAAAATAACATAAATCGTATACAAATTGAATTACAAATAATTAATTTGAAAACCAAAAATAAAATTATGCAGATTATTCCTGCATAATTTTGCTAGTGTTGGGTGGGCGGGGTGAGGTAAATTGATTACGATAGTCTAGTCTCAATACGCGAGAATAATAACACGTGACGCGTAGAGAGTTACAAACAAACAAACAAACATACATACAGATGAAACCTTGTATTGCATGTCTGGAGAAAGCCTAAGGATTAAAGTTTTTCATACTAGCCGGACAATTGGCTGACCCCAATTAGTTGGGATTAAGGCAAGGAAAAGGAAGAGATGATTACATTTTTAATCAAATATAAGTATTCCTATATTAAATTCTAAATGCAAAAATTGTCCAATACATTATATATTACTTAAGCAATATATTATAATTTGGTTTTATTCAAATCTTAATTGCAATTTGAATAGTTTTTATATTGCTTTATTAATACAAAGAATATTAATTATATTGAGATTTTGCGAAGTTATTATTTTGAAATTCAATGCATTAATATTATCATTTTATAAACATTAAAAGCCGGTGCATATATAATAAACATGAATGTAATATTAAACATATTTTCATACTATTATCATGTATAAAAAAGAAAAAGTATTAAATTCTTTTAAGTACTTAAGATTATTGTATATGATGTATTAATGTCTGTAAATTATTATACAAAGAGAACTTTAGTACGTAGAGTTAAAACAAAATGCTTGATACAAAATTATAATGGTTGAATTAATCATTAAACTTATAATTAACAAATATACTTTTAAAATCGGGATGACTAAATTGAAATTCAGTGAAAGTCGGACTACAATGTTGCAAAGCATCTAACGGTAGCGGACATCGAGTCGGGCGACGGGTACGTAGTAGCGAGGATAGACGGCATCGACGTCTTGAGCTGCTACGCGCCGCCCAGCATGCCGATCGCCGGACTCCTCGATCCCCTGTCCTCCTGCCTGCGGGCGAGAAGGCTCGGGCGGCCGCGGGACAGCCGCGGGGAAATCGTGGCCGGGGATTTCAACGCCCACTCCCCGGTTTGGGGGTCGACGAACACAAATCAGCGTGGCGAAGATCTGTTGGACCTGATGTCGACCCTCGGGCTGGTCTCGGCCAACAGGGACTCCACCCCGACGTTCGAGGGTCACTCCTCAAGCTCGGTGGTGGACGTCACGCTGGTGTCCCCGTCGTTACACTCGCACGTGTCCGGTTGGTCGGTTCTCCCACACAGGAAAACCTCAGCGACCACCGGTACATCGTGTATGAGTGCGGCGACGGCGGCCGTCCCCCCCGAATCGTGCCCCGCGAGTCGTCTCGCGGTGGGTGAGTGGGCTGGCGGGTCGGACCGGCCACGGACATCGACGCATTCGAGACGGGCTTACTGCTCGCTCAATGGTCGGCGCCCGCGGTACCGGACTGACACATTTCCGCGAACGAAGCGGCGGAAGAGTTGGACCGGAGGGTGGTCGCAGCCTGTGACTTCGCCCTCCCGGCCAAACGACCGCCGTCGACTCGCGGACCGCCAGTCCACTGGTGGAACGCCGAGNCCCTCCCGGCCAAACGACCGCCGTCGACTCGCGGACCGCCAGTCCACTGGTGGAACACCAAGGTGGCGGCCAGGCGTGAGGAGTGCGTCAGGGTCAGGAGGGCTATGACGCGCTCCAACCGTTGGCCGCGGGACCCGGAATCCCCGGACCCGAGGGAGGCGCTGAGGTCGGCCCGCAAAGAGCTGAAGCTCGCCATCAGACGGGCCAAAGCGAAATGCTGAACCGAACTCGTGAAGTCGGTGGACCACGACCCGTGGGGGAAACCCTATCGGGTCGTTATGCGGAAGCTCTGCGGTCCACCGGCTTCCGGTCAGCTGGAGGTGGAAGTGCTGGAAAGGGCGGTAGACATGCTCTTTCCGACACATCTGCCCCTGCCTCCCCCGGCGTTTGGGGACGACGTGTCAGTGGTAGAATTCACCAGCCAAGAGGTAGCTGACGCGGTGGCGCGTGTGCGGGGCTGGAACACAGCTACCGGTCCCGACGCGATTCCAAACCGGGTGTGGGGGTTGGTCCACGACCCCGCCCCGGACTGGATACGCGCCGTCGCGAACCGCTGCCTCTCGGAGGATGAATTCCCCACGAAGTGGAAGAAGACCAGGCTGGTGCTTTTGAGGAAGGGTGACAAGCCCGAGGGTCTCCCCTCGTCGTACCGACCGCTTTGCATGTTGGACGACTTAGGGAAGATCCTTGAGCGGCTGCTCGTCATCCGGATCGAAGCCCACCTGGCCGACGTCGGCGGACTGGCCGAGGGCCAGTTCGGCTTCCGGAGGGGGAGGTCGACGGATGACGCGGCCTCCCTCTTCAGGGACTTGGCCCTCAGGGCCAAAACTGAGCAGGGTTTCGGGGTGGCGGTGAGCTTGGACATCCGAAACGCGTTCAACTCCGTGCGATGGTAACACATCCTCGGAGCGCTGGACACGTTTCGGCTGCCTCCTTACCTCGGGCGAATGATCCGATCTCGTAGGAGATGATCGCTAAAGTACGATCGGAACTTTAGAGGAATGGTCTATTTAATCGTTGCTTTTGTGTTTGACACAACTGTGAGCAATACTGTCCGATTAAATGGCGCATACCACCTCCTAGAACAAAAATTTGATAGAGATATTTTATTCTTAGCATGTAGGCACCATGTTTACGAAATAGTTTTGCGAGGCATATTTACTGAAGTAAAATTAACAACAAGTACAAGACCTGAAATTACCTTGTTTAAAAATTTTAAAAAAGAATGGCCAAATATTGATGTAAATTTTTATTTAATTTGATCTACTGGTGAACATGTAAAAAATATTTTAATGATAATTGCTGTTGAGATGATACAATTTTGTAAAATTAAACTCGAAGAAGAAATACCTAGATATAATTATAAAGAATTTCTCGAACTAATAATAATATTTTTAGGTGATTTGCGACCTAAAGACATACAATTCAAAACACAAGGTGCTTGTCATCTCGCACGTTGGATGGCCAAATAATTGTGTTGTTTAAAACTATTTTTATTCCGACACCAGTTTAAAATTACTCAATGCGAAGATAAATTTTTAAAACGAATCTGCTGTTTTATTATAAAGTGTTACGCAGAATCGTGGTTTTCATGTTCAAATATTGCTAAGTCCACAAGAAATGACATCGGGTTTTTAAAAAAATTGTATTTTTATAAAAATTACGATAAAGAATTCGCTGAAAAAGCAATTATGAAATTTATTAATCATTTGTGGTACTTGAGTGAAGAGTATGCGGCTTTTTCAATTTTTTATGAAAGTTTAAGTAATGATACAAGAAGAAAAATGACTGAAAAAATTATGCATTGTACTCCTGAAAAAGAATCGCAAAAAAAGTTCATCCTCAAATTTGAAGATTTACAACACTTTCTTAGCAAAGATTTACCATTAGATATTCTAGGAAATGATTCGAAAAACATATTTGAGAAATTTAATATGTTTACTGATTTTTTGAAAGTTCAGCCGGACAAATGGAATGAAAATGAAGGGTACATTGAAGGAAAAAGAGTGGTAGAATCAATAAAAGTAGTCAACGATACGGCAGAACGAGGGGTCAAACTTTTGACGGATTTCAATGAAAAGTTCACGAAAAATGAAGAACAAAAGCAATTTTTTTTGCAAGTAAAAAGCCTTTATTTTAGTTATACAAAATTTATTTTTCATTTAATTATTTATAATTTGAAATATTTTCAGGTAGTTAAGATTATAGAAAAAAGTTTCCTGGATAGTAAAGATACACTCAAAGAATCATATATTTGAAAATTCATTTTTACTATCATAAATACATTATTCATTACTTTTATATTAAAATGGTCATTAGAATAATAATAATTATTATTTAATATCATTATTTTTATATTTTAAATTACAAAAAAATTTATCAGTATTTAATTGAAAAATTTACAAAACATTTTTAAGAGATTTTAATTTTAAACAAAATTAGTCTTGGACTTTTAGTGTATTATTAATCATATTTAATATATGTTGAAAAAACTAATATTGAGACTAATTATTATATAAAACAATATACTTAAGTGAAATTCTATTTTATAGAAAATAAATTTTCTATACATTTAGTCCTTTACATTTTTTTTTGAATGTACAATAGTTTTTAAGATAATTAAAAAAATATGAAAACCACCTCTGGAAAATTTTAAGCTACTATATCATTTTTCTTGGAAAATAATAGACTTGAGAAACATGTTATAAAAATATTTTTTATTAGAAATGTTAATAGCTATATTTTAAATTCTCTTTATTTTTACGATTAGTGCAATACTTTTCTATCAATAAGCAAAAATAACTCAGAAAACGACTTGTTATCAATTTTCATCCCCTTAGGGGTACCTGAAGGAGTTGATTAATCAAAATCAAAATTTTGAAAGTTCGAAAGTTCGAAAGTAAGGACCACCCTAATATATACATTGTATACGTATATAATATTCGAAATAGGAACAGTTCATTTTAGCGAATTAATCTAAATAAATTCTAAAATTTGAATCTCTCTTAGAATTCTACCTCTGCCTCACAATTTCATTATGACATTTATACGACTAAATATTTTAAATTAATTTTCAATGTTCAGAATTAATATTTTTAATCGCAATAGTTATTACATAGAATTATTTGCGTAAAATTACCGATTTAGCTTAATAAATATTGCTTAGTAAAAATAATTCTTTATGAAAAATAAAATATATAACTATAAAATACAAACATGTGTAATAATTCCAAATAAGTTTACACAAGTTTTTTCAATGAATATCTTATAACAGTGTGTGATAAAAAATAACAATAGTTTCAAAAATTCTACAATATTTGAAATGATATATTTATCTTTGAAAATTTAAGGAACCATCTTTTTTAAATCAAGAAGATAACCACAAATAAATAAAAATTAGAAAACAGTTGACTAAATCGTAAGACTGATATTTAAATTCTTGAGAAATTAAAAAAATTAACTCATCGGAGCTATATCTTTGAATTATGGAACGATCTATTACAATTCAGAAAATATTGTTTTGATTAAATTAATAACTTCACTTTTGAGTATCACTTTATAGTACACCCGATTATTTCAAATCGATATCATATAAATTAAGATGTGATAAAATTAAAATAATATTGAAATATTTTAAAAACTTTTAAATATTAATTTATCAATGCAAATTTTAAATAGTTTTTTAATAAAATACTAAATTACACTCTAATAAAAATATTATATTCTTATAAATATTTTATACATTAAAATGATTAAGAAATTTATTTTATTTATGTTAATTATTATTTGGTATTTGTCTAAAGCCTTAACAGTGTCAAGCCATCAGACAAACATCAGTGAAAATTTTAAAGATTATATTATTAAATCTTTAAGTCACATTTGTAAACAATCTGGATGGAACGCACTGGGGCACATACAATTTCAAAAACGTGATTACACAATTAATAATTATTGTATAATAAAAGACTCTGTGAATGATAATAATTATTTAGAAAAACTCGAATGCATAATTAATATATTAAATTGTGAATACACTATTGTCATGGAAAATTTTAATGTAATGTTAGGAATGGTTTTGGATAAATGTCGAGCGGAAAAAATAAAAAGTAACATGAAACAATTTGAATATTGTATAAAAGGAATATTCGATATTTTTAAGAATTTGATAAAGATATTTTCAAATTTTTTAAATGCTGCAAAGTACATTAACCAAATAGATTTAAGAATAATAAACTTATCTTTAAGCAATTCAAAATGTATCGAAAATGAAATTCAATTGTTTTGCAGTCATTTATCTAAGGTTGTTGAACAATATGTTAATTTTGTCCAATTAAAAGACATCTATTTTTTAAATATTTTTGGACAAATGATGAATTTTCACAATAATGTTAAACAAATTATATTTTATCTTTACAAGATTAGAAAAGTTTGTGGTTCACATTATGAAAGTCTAATTTCAACTAATTTACTAACTGTATATAATATAGAACAAATGGATAAATTAGTAGACGATTCCAACGATTATGTCAAAAATATTTATAATGACCTGAGTACATACTTAGCTGTAATATCTGAAAATCATTTTTCAAGTCTTGGATTTGAACAACTCCTAGGAACTAATACATTCAAGTAAGATTTTTTAATTATTTATGCCATATTTCTATTGTTTATAAGAAACTTAATTAGATACACATTTAAGTTTCATACTAACACGACTTAAAGTTATCTAAAAAACTATTTTAAAATTTTTTATATAAAAAAAATGTTAACTTTATATTTTCTTTTAAATAAATGGTAGCACAGAGGGGTCAAAAATAGATATACCTTTTTAAGTAAACAAATAAACCTAACCCAGCACAGTGGGGTCGTCACACAGTAGGGACGTGGCATAGTTGATACTAATATAGATGATTTCTGACAGTGATTAAAATCATTATCATGAGAAACGCTTGATAGTGTTGAATTTTAAGAAATTGGTGGACTATTCTAAAAGCAACATCAACTCCTATTTCCTTAATTATATCCTGATTAGAAGTTTTTAGATTCTTCTTCTTCTTCCTCGCTTTAATCCCAACTACTTGGGGTCGGCCACCCTTATCCCAAACTTCCACTGGACACGATCTCCCACATCATCTACGCTCACATCAGCTGCCCTCATATCGCATTCAATAGCATTCATCTATCTCTTTTTTGATTTTCCTCTACCTCTTCTTCCTTCAACATTCATTTCTATAACTATTCTTGCAGCTTACGATTCTTCTCTCCTCATAACATGACCAAACCGTATAAGTCTATTTTCTCTCAGCTTATCTACGATTGACGCTACACTTATACTTCCTTTTACATGCTCGTTCCTTATCCTATTTTCTCTAGTCACTCCACTCATCCATCTAAGCATTTTCCTCTCTGCTACACTCATTCTCTGCTCTACTTTTTTATCAACCGCCCAACACTATGAACCATACATCATAGCTGGCCTCACTACAGTCTTGTAGATTCTATCTTTCAGCCTCATTGGAATTCTTTTATCGCATAACGCAACAGACGCTTCTCTCTACTTTACCCACCCTCACTTAATCCTGTATATAACATCCTCGTCAATACCATCATTCTTTTACACAACTGTTCCTAAACACTTAAAACTTTTAACCTCTCTTATTACGTCCTCGCTTAATGTCACTGATCTCCTCAATTCACCTACTTCGTTTTCTGCTTTGCCAAACTCGTACTCTATCTTACTCCTACTTATTCTTAATCCCTTTCTTTCGAGAAATGATCTCCACACTTCTAGCCTTTGATTAATTTCCTACCTATTTTCTCCTATTAACACTATATCATCAGAAACAACATACACCACGGCACCTCTCCTTGTATTTCTCTAGTAATTTCATCCATCACTATAGAGAATAAGTAAGGGCTTATAGCAGAACCTTGGTACACTCCTACTCTTACTTGAAAACCTTCTGATACTCCTCCTACGCTTTTTACCCTGGTATAAGTGCCTCGTACATATCTTCTATTATATTAACGTACCTTTTTGGGACTCCTTTTCTCATTAATGCCCACTTTAAAACCTCTCTCGGTACTCTGTCATACGCTTTCTTCAAATCTATAAATGCTATACACAGTTTTTTTCTTTTTCCTAAACTTTTCTATTAGTTGCCTCACACAAAATACTGGCTCCATTGTTGGCTTACAAGGCATAAATCCAAACTGGTTTTTAGATACCGATGCCTCAGTGTCTTATTCTCTTATCTATTACCTTTTCCTAAATTTTCATACTATGACTCATAAGCTTTATGCCTCTATAATTTCTACACGCCTGTATGTCTCCTTTATTTTTAAATATCGGTACTACAATACTATTCCTCACATTCATTTGGTACTTTCCCTTCTAATAAGATTTTATTTAAAATTTCCTTCAACCACCTTATGCCAACACCGCCTAATATTTTTCATACTTCTACTGGCACTTCGTCTGGTCCAACTGCTTTTTCTTTTTCATTAATGCCACAGCCTTCTATAACTCTTTCTCACTAATTAAATCTATCAATCCCTCATTCCACGAGATATCCTCTAATGTTTTTTTTTGGGTACTCCTCATTCAATAATTTTTTAAAATACTCTTTCCGCCTTTTTTCACATTATCATCATTCAAGAGTACCTTATTATTAACACTTTTTATACACCTTGTATAATAATAATCTTTAGACCTTTTCTCTCTTATCTTTGCAAGTTTAGTAGTTTTTAGATTCAAAAGTATAATATAAGAATAAAAATATACTTTAACAATTAAATATATATTTTATATTATAATATTATAATTTTTAAGGATAAATTATAAAGTAGTTTATGGCAAATGTGCATAAAAATTAAAAGGCTTAATGAAAAATTAAAAAAAAAAATTTTTTAATTATAAATAAATACATTGATCAGTAAGAAATTTCATTTTAGTTAAAAATATACTTTTCTAACCTAATTTTAAGCGCTGATTTCAAATCTGCCATTTTGTTTTTCGATTCTAATTTTCAAGATTATTGTTAATTAAAAAACCCAGCACAGGGGGATCGCGGCACAGTTGTGACGTGGTATAGTTGGATCAAGTATAATGATATCTGACAGTGATTAAAATCACTATCAAAAATAAACGCTTCGATGCAAATCTTTAGATAGTGCTTAATTTTAAAAAAATTGGTGTTTTATTCCAAAAGCTACTTGATCTGCTGGTTCCTTATTAATATCTCGAT